CCTTTGGCCCCCCAAGGTTGCGCCAATACATTTTGCCCTTCCATACTAAAACTGTCCTCACTTACAGGATCCATATCCCTCAACTCCCTTCCTATTCATGTATCAGTCCAGGTGCTTCTTGAATGCTGCTATTGTGTCTGCTTCTACCACCTTCTCCGGCAGCATGTTCCAGGCACTCACCACCCTTTGTCAGAAAAACTTGCCCCGCACATCTCTTTTTAAACCTCCCCCTCCAACCTGCACCTTGAACCTGTGTCCCCTAGTAATTAACCCCTCCACCCTGGGAAAAAGACTCAGTTTCCATTCCATCCATGTCATTCACAATGTTATAAACTTCTATCAGGTCGCCCCTCAACCTCCTGTTCCAGTGAAAACAAACCCAGTCTATCCAATCTTTCTACATAAGCTAAAATCCCCTATACCAAGCAACATTCCAGTAAACCTTTTCTCTACCCTCTTCAAAGCATCCTTCTGGTTGTGTGGTAACCAGAACTGTACGCAATATTCTAAGTGTGGCCTAACTAAAGTTCTATAAAGCTCCAGCATAACTTGCCTATCCTTATACTCAATGCACCTTCCAATGAAGGCAAGCATGCTATAGGCCTTTTTTACTACCTTATCTATCAGCACTGCCACCTTCAGTGATCTGTGGACCTGCACACCCAGATCCTTCTGCATATACTCCTAAGGGTTCTGCCATTCACTGTACAATTTCCACTTATACTTTACCTTCCAAAATGTATCACCTCACATATGTTAATGTCATCTGCCATTTTTCTGCCCACGCCTCCAACTGATCTATATCCTGCTGTATCCTCTAACAATCCTCCACACTATCCATAAGTCCACCAATCTTTGTATCATCTGCAAACTTACTAATCAGACCAGCCACATTTTCCTCCAAATCATTTATGTAGAGGATGTTTCCCTTCAGGGGATAGCCTAGGGCCAAAGGGCACTTATTTAAGACCGAGATGAGAAGGAACTTCTTCTCTCAGAGAGTTGTGACTGTTTGGAACTTCTCACCACAGAGAGCTGTGGGGGCAGAGCCCTTGTGGAACAAGGCTGAGATAGATAGATTCCTGCTTAGTAGGGGAATCAAGGGGTACGGGGATAGGGCTAGAAAGTTGATGGAAGGAATGTCAGATCAGTGATATTCCTATTGAATGGCAGAACAGGTTCAAAGGGGCAAATGGTCCACTCCTGTTCCTATTTCTTATGGTCTTATTTACAGCCTGGAGGCGAACGATCAGGTGACGGTGTTCCCATGTTTTTTTTCTTTATTCATTCACGGGATGAAGGCTTTGCTGGCTAGGCCAGCATTTATTGCCCATGCCTAATTGCCCAGAAGGCAGTTAAGAGTCAACCAGATTGCTGTGGGTCTGAAGTCACAGGTAGGCGAGACCCGGTAAAGATGGCAGTTTCCTTCCATAAAGGACATTGATTGATTGTCACATGTACCGAAATACAGTGAAAATCTTTGTTTACAAGCGGTACAGGCAGATCACAGCAAGCAAAGGATGTACAGATCAAAAGACTTAGAGGCATACAGGTTCCATTGAAGATTACATTATTTGAGGCTAGAGTCCATTCAACAGTCTGATAACAGACGGTAGGAAGCTGTTCCTGAACTTGTTCGTGCATGTGTTCAGGCTTCTATATCTTCTGCCTGCTGGAGAGGTTGTAGGAGGTCATTACCAGTGTATGATGGGTTTTTGATGATGTTCGCTGCCTTTCTGTGGCATCAAGCCATGGATGGAAGGCTGGCTTTCATGATGGTCTGGGCTGCGTACACCACCTTCTGTAGTTTCTTACACTCCTGGGCAGAGCAGTTGTCATACCAGGCCGTTATGCACCCAGACAATATGCTTTCAATGGTGCATCTGTGGAAGTTGGTGAGGGACTTTATGTACATGCCAAATTTCCTGAGCCACTTAACGAAGAAGAGGTGTTGTGCATTCTTGACTGTCTTATTCATGTGGGAAATTCAGGACAGGTCATCGATTATCGTCACTCCAAGGAACGTGATGCTCTTCACTCTCTCAACCTCAGTTCTGTTGACATAGATGGGAGCGTGTTTTCGTCCTTTCTTTCTGAAGTCGATGATCAGTTCTTTAGTTTTGTCAACGTTGAGACACACTGTTTTCATTGCACCACATCATCAAACCCTCTATCTCCCTTCTATATTTTGACTTGTTAATGTTAGATATCCATCCCACTATGATGGTGTCGTCAGTGAATTTGTAGATGGCGTTTGTGCGGAATTTGGCAACACAGTCGTAGGTGTTCAGGGAGTACAGTAAGGGGTCGAGGACACATCCTTGGGGGGCTTCGGTATTGAGTGTTACTGTGGAGGAAGTGCAGTTACCTATCCTTACTGATTGTGGCCTGTCAGAAAGCCGAGGATCCAATTGTAGAGGGCGGAGCCAAGACCAAGCTCACACAGTTTCGTGAACCAGATGGGTTTTTCCAAAAATCGACAATGGATTGTGGACATCATTAGATTCTCAGTTCCAGTTTTTTCAAAAAATTGAATTGTGATTCTACCATCTGCCCTGGCAGGGTTCAAACCTGGGTCCTGGATTAACAGTTCAGCAAAAATACCATTAAGCCATCCAATCCCCCTTCCTCTCGTGGATCTGCTACTGTGGTCTTTTCAGATACCAGGTTTGGAAGGTGATGTCATACTTTAGAATTGTAAGGTGTGATCCTGAAAAGAGCTACTCAGTTGATCGGGGAAACCAAGTTCCATCTCTGATGCCTTCCAGTGAAAAGTGACTCTGTGGCTAAACAGGCTTGTATGCAGATTCACCACGGTAGCTCTCAGTGAATCCACATCTGCTATATCACTCAGCCATTGCCACAGGACTTCTGACAGATGGCTGATCGATGAACATGACTTGCAAGTGAATTGATTATAGGGAGGGAAATAGGCACATCATCAGCTTCACTCTTCTGTTCCAACCTATTTTGGTCAATAGCAAGACATGTCTGCTGAAAATAGATCTGAATGCATTGTGGGACCTGGACATCCTCTGTGTCTTGTTGAGCTCTACACATTCCACAACGTAGGAGACCTGATAGTTACCTTATTCGATTTAGCTTGCTCTTCAGAACAGTTTAGTGGGGTGTGGCTACTGTCACATGCTAACAACTACTTTGAGCCACAGATGACAGCTAGGTGGAGGTGAAGACCAATACAAGATAAATCACTCCAAACAGTGCATGAGCCTGTCTCGGAGGTGCTACCTTCCATTATATTGGCACCATCTATAAAACAGTTCCAAAGTCAATATTATCAGTGGAAAACCTTCTTGATCACTTCAATACTTGATCACTAAGCCAGACAACTATCTTTTTAGATCACATAAGATGGTTCTAAAAGAATGTTAGCCAGATTACTTGCAAGTCTTGTCACTTACATCATATTGAATTTTACTAAGTTATCCAGTAGCAATCACATCTGTAAAGTATAACTTTGGCTGGCTGAAGAGCAACATTCATCTAACAGATGGCAATAAGCCAACACAATGTCTCAAAAAACAGTAATACTTTACTGCACTGTATTTGTCAAAGTAAAGCTGCATCACACTCCATGTTCCCAACCACCATTCTCCAATTCAGTTTTGTGTCCAAGACCATTCTCCATTAAATGTTGAGCTGATAATCATGGATAGTGTTTTGAAAGACAATGAAAAGTGAGACTCCGCCATAGTTGGAACAATTTTAGTTATGCTGTTTACATCGTGTACTACAGCCAACAAGTGGAAAGAGCTGTTTGTCAGCAGCGTTCTCAGGTCTAATGAAGATTGTAATCAGGGCCTCAACCTTTTCGTCTAGTATGACAATTAGATCCTATCTTAGCAACTCAGAAAAAAATTATATACAAGATACTATCTGCCCAATATTTTCCTTTTACTTTTTTCATTATATGTCAATATGCAATATCAGAACAAGACTGGCAATGTTGTAGATTTATCTACAATTACAGGATAGTAGGATGAAGTACAACTGAAATTGAGTAAATTGAACTTTATTTTAAACTTTTTATTACGTACTGCATCCAATTTGGAACCTATCAATTCTATATGGTTCCAATTCTTGCTGTGTATCTTGGCATTTTAGAAAAGTGTCAGCTTAAAAATTAAATGCATGTATTCAGGAACATGCAAACCTCACGCACATAGATTTTAGTGTCCTACAGAGAAACAGCCATTCATAAACTAAGCGCAACATTAGGATTTTTTGTCCTCCTTTTGGTCAATCATACACTGTATCAAACTGCCCTTCTCACTGCCAAAGTACACTCATTCTCAACTTTCCCTAAAGAATGCCTAACAAGTTGATGTGATGCCTTTAGTGCCCAGGTGAATTTTCATTTCATGGTTTTCATTTTTGTGCAAACCACAAGGTACACTGCAGCAACTCACCACAGCGCTCTCTCTCTGCACCTTCTAAACATTAAACAGCTACCATCAAGAAGGATACAAGCCTGCAAGTTCTATTCCAAGTCACAGTTCTTATTGAATTGGATTTATATCTCTGTTCCTTTCCTGTGACTAAGTCAAAATCCTAAAACTTCATCCCTAACAGCACTGTGGTGCATCATACCTCTGAGGCCACAACAGTCAAGAAGGTATGTTCATCATCATCTACTCAAAGGCTATTAGGGATGGCCAATAAATGGTGGCTTTGCCAGTAATGCTTACATCCCCAGAATATAAAGAATGCAAACTTCTCATTTCTTATTTTTGTTTAAGTTTCTTAGCCAAATTCAATGACCAAAAAAATACCCTTAGCTGGACTGCCAGAAACCTTCAAAACAGGATGAACAATGAACAACGACAAGAATTCTTTGTCACTGACTAAAATAAACTCAGTCAGTGTAGAATCATACAGACTTAGGAACTTCCCTATAAAAATATTTGTTTACTTTGACATAATTTACTTAGATAATCTGATGGAAAACAACATAGCATGAAGTGGATAGCTGTACTTACTTGGTCAGTCTTTGCGGAAGCATGGCTCTAAGAAACTTGGTTACAATTTCTGGGGTCTGATGTTTGCATGGTGTTTTGGACAAATATTTTAAAGTCTGTGAACGAAATGTAGTAAACAAAATAAATACTCTGTCCTCAATAGTGCAGAAGACTCCAACAAAATTGTTCATATTTTTAACACCTCAGTAAGGTCACTTCTTAATCTTCTCTGCCCCAAGGAGAACAAGCTCAATTTCTCTAAACTTTCCTTGTACCCAAAATCTCTCATGTCTGTTACCATTCTAGTAAATCTCCTCTGCACTTTCTCCAGGACTTTAACATCCTTCCTTAAATAAAACAAAAGTGTCCTAAACATAACACAAAATGTGGTTTGACCAGATCAAAATCCTGGAATTTTCTCCCTGAGGGCATTGTAGGTTAATCTAAAACATGTGGACTGCAGCGGTTCCAGAAGGTACCTCATCACCACCTTTTCAAGTACAACTCAGGATGGGCAATAAACTGTTTCAATTTGCCTGGCCACCTTAATAGAATTATGTACATGAACCATGAGGTCTCTCTGATCCTGTACTCCCCTCAAAGTCGTACCATTCAGCCTGTATTGTCTCTTTATATTTCTTTTCCTAAAATGCATGACCTCACAGTTGGCTGCATTGACATTCATCTGCCATGTGTCTGCCCATTTGGTCAACTTACCAATGTAATTCTGATGTCACTCAACATCATCCTCACAATTCGCTACTCTCCCTACTTTCGAGCTACCTGCAAATTTAGAGATTTTGCCTTCAATACCCATCTCCACATGATTTTTCTGATTTAGAAAAACAAAGGGTCTCAACACTGATCCCTGGGGAACACTTTCAACTCATCTGTCGGAGAAATGCCCATCTGTACCTACCATCTGTTTCCTATCTTTTAGCCAATTTCTAATCCATGCTGCCAAGGGCCCATCAATCCCAAACGTTTCTAATTTGCTAATGAGCCTACAATGTAGCATCGCACATAATGCCTTCTGAAAATCCAAATATATAACATTCACAAAACTAGCCTCATCCACTACCTGTGTTACCTTGTCAACGAGTTCAAATAAATTTGTTAGACACGACCAGCCCTTGACAAAGCCATGTTGACTGTCCAGTATCAACTTACTTTTCTCTAAGTACATATTATCTTACTCGGTATTATGGTCTCCAGTTTTCCTACTATTGATGTCACGGTGACAGATCTGTAATTTCCTGGGTATTCCTTTGCCCCTTTCTTAAACAAGAGTCACACGTGCAATCCTCCAGTCCTGATCCTGTGTTCAGAAAGGCCTGGAAAATTTCTGTCAACGACGCTGCAATTTGCTCCCTTACTTCTCTCAGCAATCTAGGATGCATCCCATCCAGGCCTGGCGATTTCTTCACTGGAGTGCTGCCAACCTTTGTAGCAGTTTTTCTTTATCTATCGTTATACTGCTCAGTTGCTAACACCCACATTTTTCAACCAGGCCATTAGCAAATTAGAAAATGGTGACAAAGACAGATGCAAAGTACTCACTTAGTACCTCTACCATTCCCTTACTTCATTCAGTGAGCAGCTTACCCTGCTTATTCCTTCTGGACCCCACTCTATCCTTCAATAATCTTTACTTTTAATATATTTGAAAAACATTTTACTATTTATTTTAGAGCAGCCAGGCATTCTTTCCTCTTAGCCTTCCTTATTCCAGCCTTAGCCTCTCTCCTGTATTTGTGAAACTCTTCCGGATTTCTATTACTATTATTATTCTGGTTTGCGTCTTATGCCTCTTTTCTCTTCCTTATTTTCTCGTCAATATCTTTAGCCATCCAGGGTTCTCTAGCTTTAGATACCCTGTATTTATTTCTCATAGATTTGTACCTAGCTTACATCTTATTCAGAAATAGTAAGAACTGCCAATGCCGGAGTCAGAGATTTCTGAAGAAGGGTTCTGACGTGAAATGTCAACTTTCCTGCTCCTCTGATGCTGCCTGTACTGCTGTGTTCCTCCAGCTCCACACACTATTACATTCTATTCATCTCTTTTTCATCCAACAAAATGCATTTCCAATCAACTTGCTCCAGTTCAACCTTAGACCCCTAAAATCTGCACTTTTTCAGTCGAGGATCTTAATCCTTGACTTTTTTTTAATCCTTTTCAAACATAAAATTTAACCTTATTACATTTTGATTGCTATTTACCAAATGCTCCCCCACTCTGATGTTCTCCACTTGGCCCGTCTTATTTCCTGGGACCAGATCCAGCATAGCTACCTCTCTGGTAGGACTAGAAATACACTATTACAGAAAGTTGTCCTGCACACGTGACAGGAATTTCTTCCCTTCCATGCCCCACACTCTACCTATTATCCACTCTACCCTAGGGTAATTGAAATCACCAGCTTTCTCAACCCTACTTGTCCTGCAGGTTTCCATAATCTGCCTACAAATGCTCTCTACGACTTCTACCTCACTGTTTGGAGATTTTTAATAAATTTCCAACAATGTCACCGCTCGCTTCTCATCTCTAACCATATGGATTCTAAATCAGGTATCTTGTTCAAGGACTACGGTACTTTGATCAAGACTGCTTTTTACCCACCTTTTTTCTACTAGAAAGCTTATAATCTAATAAAGTAAGTTCTAATCACATTCTGGCTTAAGCCAAGTTTCTGTCAATGCAGCTATGTCATACCCCGCTCAAGCAATTTCTGCTTCCAGTTCCCCAGTTTCGTTCATTATACTTCATGCACTTACATACATATATTTAGCCCTTAGTTCTTTCTTGCCCACTGGAAGACAGCCATTTTTCTGTTCACAGTCAACACTCAAGCCTTCCCTCACTTCTCTTTTCCCCATTCCCCAGCCTCTTCTTTTTTTCTCTTCCAAAACTATGCCCATTAGTCAACCCACTCCCCTGCCTTTTCTCTGGCATCAAAACATAGAAGGTGGAATGCACCAAAAGTTGGGATGTCAAAACTGCAGCAAGAGATTAAAAGGAGGCTGCAGAAGGATTTAAGAATGAGGACTGTTAATCGTACATGAATTATATTGTTAAGATACACAGGTGAATGGCTTTATTTAATGAAGCATCTCTGAGCCAGGAGGCCCAAGTTCAAGTTCCACCTGCTCCAGAGATGTATAATGATATTTCTGAACAGTTTGAATTGAAATATCTTCAAGAACACCCATCAGAGAATGAAGGGAGCCTTGAGGTGCAGTGGGAGCATCCCTACTCAGAAAAAGCAGCTGCTGTAGTCCCACCTGCTCCAGGGATGCATCATAACACATCAGAACAGGTTGATTAGAAACATCTAATGAGAAACGGATGGGAAGGTGGTAGCATTGTGGTAATGTCTCTACACAAGTACTCCAGGCTATTGTTCTGGCTGTTCAAATCCCAGTAGCCACTGACATTTAATTTTTGTCCCTTTAAGGGACTTCCACCTGTTTAATTTTTGCTTAATTTGGTTTCACTGTTTCAAGTAATATATTAAAACAAAATAAAGAGGGATAACAGGTTGGTTGGTAGGGAGTAGATATATGAAATGCCACTTTCTGTGAATAAACCTCTTTGTGAGAAAGGTACCAGTTTATAGTTCCAAGCTTCATCAACTGGCTTGGGATTCAAGGAACAGGGACAAGGATTCTGACTAGACAAACTGATGGACGAAGAAACTGTGGAGCAGAACTTACCACAATGTATATTATAATATAATATTATATAATATTATATTATAATATAATTAAGTGCCTAAATTCTGGATGAGCTTAAAATTAATAGAATGCAGTTAGGTAGGGCTGGTTAAAATTGCATTAAGGAGCTGTGCCTTCAATTAACAGGGATGGAAGTGGATTTTGACTGCAGTGGATGAGATGGTATTCTTTAGCTAAGTCACACAAGGACGAGTATTGCCCTCCCCTTTTTAACTGAACAGAAAGTGCTTCCGTGCTGCATTAATCATAAATAACTGTATGAGTAAGGCCTAGCCAGAACACATCCCAGAGAAGTGGTGGCTGGGGAGCAGCACTGATCTTGCAGCTGCTTGTGGGATTGCACTTAAAGATTTACTATAGTTTTATTAGTTATTACAGTTATTACATCTAAAAACATTTGGATAAGTGCATGAATAGGAAATGTTTGGAGGGATACGGACCAGGAGCAGGCAGGTGGGATGAGTTTAGTTTGGGATTATGTTCAGCACGGACTGGTTGGACTGAAGGGTCTGTTTCTGTGGTGCTGCATAAATCTATGACTATGACTTAAACAAAACCTCCATGACAATTCCATGTGTTTTAATTTTGCTCACCTACCATGTGAGAGACAGTGCGAGAGACAGACAGAGTTGAGGGAGGGGGGTTTAGTCTTTATCAAAAGAATTTTGAACGTCCAAATGTACTAAATCCATAATGTTTTTTTAAAAAATCAATTTTGTTACTAACACCCTCACAAAAACTCCAACAAGTTTATTGAATATAATTTTCCATTTGAAAATTCATGCTGACTATGCCCAATCAGATATTTTTTGTCTGTGTGTCTATTTATCATGTCCTTTATGATAGGGAATATGCTACAATCTACTACTCGTGCTGAAGGGTCCGTAGTTCCATTTTTCCTTTGCTCCTTTCTTAAATAATGCAGTCATATTTCCAAGTTTCCAATCTGCAGGAATCATCACATAATCCATAGACAATATCAAAGCAGAACTAGGCCATTTGATCCATCAAGTCTGCTCTGCCATTCGATCATGGCTGATATGTCTCTAGACCCCATTCTCTTGCCTTCTCTCCATAACCCTCAATTCCCTCACTAATCAAGAACCTATAATCTCTGTCTTAAAGACACCCAATCACTTGGCTTCCACAGCAGCATTCCACAGAATCACTACCTCTGCTGGAGAAATCTTTCCTCACCTCGGTAATTTGGAATTTTGGAAGTTATCCATGCATGTTCTATCTCTATAGCAAACGCGTTCCAACACTCTGAGTTTGTAGACTATCAAATTTTAGCTCCATTAATTTCCCCGGTACAACCTTCTGATGCATACTCATTTCCTTCACTTTCTTTGTCAGCTACGGTTGATGTTTGAGTTTGTGCACCTTGAAGGATTAGCTAATTGGTAAAGGCCATGTAATAAGTTCTTTAAAGACTGTCCATTGCTGATATAGGGTCTTTTAAGGTGTTTTTCCAATCCAAGTCAGCCAATTTGCACCTCATGCTTTCACAATTTCCAATCATATTTAACTTGCTTACTTCAGACTGAACTACCTCACTTTTAAATATACTGCATAATTAAATCTTATTGCCACTCATTGTCCTCTCTGCGCAGATGCCTGGTTCATGGCCTTTTGCCAAGGAATCCAAAGAGAGAACAGAAGTAGAAATGATCCCATATCTAAAATATAATAAGGTATTTAATTAGAGAAACCCCGTGGTTCAACTTGTTAAATTGAAGAACTAAAAATGCATAAATCACTATATATTAACATTCTGAGATGTACTTAGGGTTTGGTTATATCAGAAATAGCTGAAAAAAAAATCATGTTAGTGTGGTCACCCAAACATTTACTAAATAAATACTTAGTAGGCACCCCAAAATGCACAAGTGAGATTTTACAGTTAGTGATATGTTATGTTTTATTTGAAAAAAAACATGGAGAGAAGATATGCAGGAACAAAAATGAAAATTGAAAAAAAAAACTGAAGTAGCAGTCAGCAGAACAATGCACTGAATTATGATAGGTAGCAAATAAACAAATTATACTAAACAGCAGATTAATCAACACTTATGGAGATGATATCGAAACAGTGGTATAAATTCATGCCATTTAACTGTTGCTTGGTGTAATTCTGATCCTTAACTGTCTTCAGATTCAAATTCTGATTTACATGACCATGCCTTCTTAAACAGACTTGCAGACCAGACATTCACACTACTTCAGTCCAGAATGAATAAATGAGTAAAGCAATCTACTGCCTTGCTGTACTTTATGGAAACCATCTCCACGACTGCTGAGAAGATGCAGAGAGTATTAGCTGTAAGGTTTCCTAGGCAACAAGCTGTTCAATCTGGTGTAATAATGCTGCTGTCTGTGAAACGCTGCTGAGAAACTCAAATTTTTGTTTCATTTCGAACAGAACTCTATATACTTCTCACAACCAACACCCACAAAAGGTTAAAAACCAAAAGAACTGCAGATGCTGTAAATCAGGAACAAAAACAAAGTTGCTGGAAAAGCTTAGCAGGTCTGGCAGCATCTGTGAAGGAGAAAACAGAGTTAACATTTCGGGTCCAGTGGCCCTTCCTCAGAACTCAAAAGCACAAAAAGATTTCTGATTGGAAAAATAATAGGCAAAGGATAAGGATGAAGCCCCAAAAAGATACTAAAAAGAAATCATGGTTGTAAGACCCTCACACAGTTTGTTAAAAGTTATTACTTTACATGAAAGTCCTACCAAATATTCAGAAACATAGCTTGAATCAATTTGATTTCAGGAAACTTGTCCGAGTGGTAATGTAGATGCTAAGGCATATCCTAAAACTTTATATGTTAGACCATTAGACAAATAACGAGGTAATTGAAATTGCAAGAACAAAAACTCAGAAGTGATATCCAGAAAAAATGCCAGTATTTCAGTCATTTGATCAGAGTTGAGAAGTTAGAGGGATCTCTTTGAAAGTGCAAGCAGAAAGAGGGGTCAAGCTAGGCGTAGATGGATGACAGATGTCAGAGTGTTTGCAGATGAACTGCAAATGAGTGTGAGAATCATAGAATCCTTCCAGCGTGGTAGCAGGCCATTTGGACCATCGAGTCTACCCCAACATCTGAAAAACATCCCACCCAGACCCACAATCTACTCTATCCCTGTTACCCTCCATATTCTATGGCTATTCTACCTAGCCTACATATCCCTGGACACTATGGTAACTTAGCATGGCGAATCCACCTAACCTGCACATCTTTGGATTGTGGAAGGAAACCGGAGCACCTGGAGGAAACCCACGCAGATATGGGGAGTGTGTGCAAACATCACACAGTCACCCGAGGGTGGAATTGAACCTGGGTCCCTGGTGCTGTGAGGCAGCAGTGCTAACCACTGAGCCGCCTCAAGGATGGCACAAGTCAGATCAGTATGGCATCATGACAGCAGCAGTGGTAAGGTGTTTTGGGCCCCTTTGATTGTACTGCTTTTAGATCACAACAGTCACCTCGTGCACTGAAATTATTTTGTTTTCAAAGGCCTATTTCATCCTTCATACAAGAATGGTTTTAAGGGATTCTTCTTTTCCTCCCCACCATGATTCCTCTAGTTTCTATGGATGGACCGACCGTCTTAAGCAACCTAATTAGACAGCCGTAGTTGACACTTGACTGATGGCTACACATCTCCCAGACCACTCTACCCCAAACACCTGAACTAGCCATGACCCACTCCCTGGACTGCAGAGGCAGTGACTCCCTGACCAAGAATACCTCGACCAGATGACTGACAGCCAGTTCCCTCGACTTCCTGCACTCCAGAAGCTAACATCCTGTGGAGGTTTTATCAAAAGCCTTCTGAAAATCCAAATAATACATCCACTTGCTCTCCTTTATCGATTCTGCTAGTAATTTCCTGAAAGCAATCAACAGGTTCCTCAAACCTGTATGCTACCTTCCCAAGTGTAGCAACAGAACCTATAGAATTTGGGAAGATGATCAGGTATCTCCATAGCTACTCTTTCAAGATGCTGGAATGTACAATATCAGGTCCAGGGGACTTACCTGCTCTCAGACCCATCAATTTCTCCAGTACAGCTTTCTCACTAATATAAATTCCTCATTCTTCCTAGTGCCTTGGATCTCTAATTCAAGAGAATTTCTTCTATCTTCCTCAGGGAAGACAAATACAAAGTAATAATTTAGCTTCTCTGCATTTCTCTGTTCTCTTTTATAAAATGCTCCTGCCTCTGCTTGCAATGGGCCCACATTTGTATTAGCTAAATATTTCCTTTTTGCATAGTCACAGAAGATTTTAGTTTGTATTTTTCTGTAGTTATTTCACATTCATATCTTATTCTCTCTTTATCAGTTTCTTGATCCTCCTTTTCCGAGTTCTAAAATCCACCCAATCCTTTGGTAATATTTCTAATATTTCTAAAAACCAAAGAGACTATAAAGACTATGTAGACTTCTTGAAGGACTATCCACTGCCTAGGTATCATTATATCTTTTTAATATATTTCCCAATCCACCTCAACCAATTTGCTCCCCATACCTTCATAATTTCCTTTGTTCAAAATAAGCACCCTGGCTTTAAACTGAACTACCACACTTTAAAACATAACATGGAATTCTATCATATAGTCATTCATCACTAAAGGTTATCTTACATGAAGATTACTAATTAGCCCTTTGTTGTTACATCGTACCAGACCTTAAAACAGTCTGTTCTCTAGTCAGTTCTTCAGCATTCTGTTGTAGAAAACCATCCACAATACATTCCAGAAACTCACGCTCAACAGCATTAGTGCTGATAAAATTTATTCAGTCTATTTGTAGTTTGAAGTTAGGCATGATTACTGTACTGCTAATGGTATATGCCTTTCCAATCGCCAGATCTAAAATTAGGCCTGACACCACCCCTACTGTTTGGTAGGAGTTGTTCACAGTCCAAAGTTTGCTACCCATTACTGCTTCTTAGCTCCAAGGAAAAAGTATTCACATTTCATTCTTCTGATCTGAGATCCTCCTTTATGAACGAACTGATACTGTACATTGTTTTATTCTCTTTTGTTCATCTATCCTTTGTTCCTATTCCACTTTGACTCTCATACTCTTTCTATCCTTACTTAGCTCTAGACAACAGAACTTATTCTGAACTCCATTACAGTAAACATCCCTCGACTCTGACTTAAGTACAATCCTCCGACCAACTCTACTTGTGCTAAAGACTGTATTTAATTTTGACATCATGTGTACAACACCTTCTACACAGAAATGTAGACAGTGATGGCTTATGATATAATCATGGAGATAAAGAAACAACATACATTTCTTTCAAAATTTTCCAGTACTTTTGGTTTGTTTTCTTTACAGCAAAGTATGTAGAACTACTTGTATTGTTTCTAATGAACTCAATCATGATTCATATGGGAACAATGAGCTAATTATTACAAGGTACCTTGTTATCAAAATTTCATCTTCCACCATGAAAATTGCACATGAACTGAATTGCTTTTCTGTATATGACAAGAGAGTGGGTGAAAAGAGTGCAAATCTTGGCAACACACAAATATTGTATTCGACCCACCTCATACATTATTGTGTTGAGATTTTGCTGACCAGCACTATGCTTCTTATTTCCACTTTCTTTCCGTTGCTCTTTAAGATCAGTCAGAAGCTTAAAGACCTAAAATGGATAACAAAAGGATGAAAGATTACCAATAGGGCTTTCAGCTAAGATTTCAATGTAATACATAGAAATGGTCCAGCAATCCCATTATTCCACCAGATGAGCTACATCCATAGGGCATACAAACTAGCAACCGATTTACAATCCTAAAGCTACAATGCTTCACCCTATACTCCTACCATGTAAACCATGTACTCTTGCAAATACAATAAATACAGTTTGAACTAAGAAGCAAAATATATTAGCTTAAAGGCTCTTAACAATAAAGAGAAGCAAGGAAAATAAAATGATAAATTTTATATACTTATTTTGATGAATAAATTCCCATACTTTGTTTACCACACTTGGGACAAATGTTCTGCAGAGAAAAACAACAGAATGCAGCAAAATTTACATCAAAAATGACACTTAAATTTCTTTCAGAATGTGGGCATAGGTGGATTAGGCAACATTCATTGCCAATCTCTAATTGACCTTGAGAAGAGAGTGGTAAATCTGCTCCTTTGAACTGTTGTAGTCCCTGAGTGTGGGGACACCCATCGTGTGTTAGGATTGGAGTTCCAGTATTTTTAACCCAACAACAGTGAAGTAACAGCAATATAATTCCAAGTTAGGAAGGCGTATGATTTGAGGGGAATTTGCAGGTGGCTGTACTGCCATGAATCTGCTGCCCTGATCCTTCTAGGCGCTAGAGGTTGCAGCTTTGGAAGGACTGAGGGACTTTTTTTTGGAACAGGAATCATATTGGACTGAAAATGTTAATCCTGTTTCTCTCCCTAGAAATACTACCAGACCTAAAATTTTGCTGCACTGCTTTTATTTCACAGCTTCTTTATCAATCATCAAAACATGCACAAAGTTGGAAACTTTACCTCATAATTACTCAGCATTGCAGCATTTGCATCTTTTCTGAAAGAGAAAATGAAAGGATCAAGTTTTGATTTTAAAAAAATTATAGAAAGAAAAGTAATGGAGTACAGAATATATTGCTTTTGAAAACTTCAAACTGCTGTAACTCATTCTCAGTGAACACACTCAAGTACTGATAACGTTCTTAATTACCAACAAGTCACTTTGACAGAATTTCTGACCACAAGGTAAAATTCCCATGACCTGGATTTGGCTGTCATTGATAAAGTGCGACCTTTGCATTATGGATTGCACTGTTCCTAACATTTGTTCTAGAGCCAACTCATTAGGATCTTCAGCAGTCCAGCAACAGTGATGCTATAAAGCAGAGAAAAAGTGTTCAATAACACTGAAGTAACTCACAGACAGTAACAAAGTAAAATGCTGATTAAAACGGATTATTCTTTACTTTATACATTTTTTTCCCCCACAGAGCACATTAAAGTTTGGACAAATACATTAGAAGCTGAAATATAAAATCAACTTTAGAAGAAATTTAAATGTTGAAAGATCAGAATGTAGAATGTTAACATAAGACGAATACTAGTTTTGAAAATCTAGAGATGTTTCTCAGCAGTACTATATGATACAGAATGCAAATCCCAGTTACATTTATTAGCATGGCAGAGTTTCTTTAAGGTGTTTTAATGGAAATATCAGTGTAAAAAGGGAAGTGCTCATAAAATCTATGATTACTAATTACATTCTGTGGGAGATTCAACAGTGCATCCAATGAGGGCGCATAGAATCACTGACAACAATTTTGAACTTCTGTGCATCACTGAATGTCTGTAAACCAGAGGTTAAAGATTGGTTAGACAGAGTCCAGGCATATGGATTTCAAATCAGAGTTTTATTTCAAATTGCACATCACAAAGCTCCCACTCCATTTAATACTTGTTCCCCATATAATGATTGATTTAAAAACAATCTGTTCAGACATGTTATGACACATTGTCTAGGGCAGGTGGGACTTGAACTCAGGCCTCCTGGCCTAGGTGACAGGGCATTACCACTGTGCCACAAGAGCCCTTTCTATTCCCTATATATACAGCAAGTCAAGTTCTTATCTAATTATCCCTAAATTAACATATTGTCATCACCTGTTCCCTAGTTCCATTTGGTTTCAGGAATATCTACCAGACTGTACTAGATGACAACATGGACTCCAGAAACTAATGCCAGTTTCAGAGGACTAATGAACTTAAATTCAGACAGGTTTGCATCACCACTATCATAAAATCCAGATTAATATCTTGATTTTACTTTACAGTCCGATATATAATTTTACCTTATGCGCAATACCTTTATTACTAGGTCAAGTGCTCATGTCATTTAAAGTTATGTTTTTATTACAGCACATTGTGGGAGTGTTTCTGGCAGTTTCAGTTTCAGATTCCTTATTGTGAGCTAATTTACGCCTTGTCTGATAAGGGAAGGTGAATTAAATAATCTAGTAAATAATGTTGTGTTGTACAGGTATATTTTAGGTGCTGTTGGGATAAAATCAATGTTGGCTACAAATAAAGTCATGAAAATAGTGTAAATGTTAAGGGAAGTTATACAGAATTCAAATGAAATTAAGGCAGGGTTTGGTGATGCCGCAACTGCTCGTGCAGTTCCGAAGGCTGTCCATGTTATCGCCAGTGAGGTCCCAGACAGCTATCTGCATTAAAGATGGTGCAGACCATTTCCTCTGTGTTTAACAGATGCTGTAAATGCAGGAAGGGGGCAGTGGCTGAGGAGCAAAAATCGGGGATAGCTCAGGCAAGAGGCAGCAAGAATTTGGGCAGGAGCAGTGAGTGGCTGGTGAACACAAAAAGCAAGGAGTTTGAGAGAGGGAGTTAATTGGGGGATTAGTGAGGACTCAGGAAATAAATGACAAGTGGGGATAGAGAGCAATACAGAGTGTGAGAGCATATGCTTGACCCAGTGGCAGACAGGGCAGCAGGAGTGCAAATGAGCACCGCCACTAGCAACGATATCAGCTATGAGAGAACCTGCATGAGTCAGTGGATTCAGTGGGTGCTGAGTACACATGCACAACTATTCTTGTTCAGGAGCAACAGTGTAAAATTAACTTCATTTGAAAATTAGATGAAGTTGCATGTTGAAACTTAACACATAATTGTAGAGATTTATGAATAAAGAGATAAAACAAAATCGAAATTGTGGACTATATTAAAATCTATTTGTTCTATATACTTATCCATGATGTGCAGATTAATATTATTCAATGGATAAATTTGGTGTAGACGTGTTAGAATAAACATATTACATTAAAAATATTTCTCAAATTTTATACGCACGCAAGCAAGCGCCACCTTGTGTTCTAAGGCAAGGTGAGTTAGTGAGTGTGTGTTGATACACGGGGCTGAACTTTACCATGTTAGGATCCCAACAGTGGCTACCTGCTAATTTATTGTCCCCACTGACTCTACCTCCATTCCCACTGAAGAATAATACAATTCTGGCTAACGTAATGGATTGGTTTTCGAAAGCAGACGTGCTATTTGGAGAATGTGATTTGATTTGTAAAAGGTGCAGGTTGTATGTTTGAGATGCACGAGCTGAAAGGTCTGCTTATGGCAAAGTGGTAGTGCCCCTACCCTGGACCAGGAAGCCAGGGTCAAAGTCCCACCCTCTCCAGAGGTGTGTAATATCACTTCTGAACAGGTTGATAAGAAAAATAGGTTAAATTAGAAAAAAAAACACTAGCTGCTCCCCACCTCTCCCTCACCTTTTTTGGTTTTGTATTGCCCTTAATGAGCTTTGTTTGTAAATTATTTGATTGGAAAGATGGGCAATTTGCTGATGGTGGTTAATAGACGAAAACTATTATGGGTGATTTTGTGATGGAAAGAAAACCTCTGAGTTGTGTGTAAGAGCACTTGTGAATATGAAAAAGAGAGAAGAAAACACTAGCTGGAGTGCTGTTGTGGTGCAGTGGTAGCATCCCTATCTCTGAGCCAGCAGGCCTCCAGATATGTCATAACATGACAGTAAATGTTGATTTAAAAACATATGAAAACCACTAGCTCAGCAAATAAGTGTAAATATGGATAAGTTTTTGACAGTGAATGATAAAGAAGGAATTTCAGTTGAATGACATGGAAGTAAGTTAGGATTTGCAAAATTTGGTGGTTAGTGAAAGGTATTGTTTGGAGGAGATATAGTTGATTTTGAAAAGAGAAGTAAAAGTAAAAGTAAAATATATATTAAAAGGGGAAGTATCTCCTTTAGGTTTGGGAGAAGGGAATATCAGGTATTGAAAAACTAACAAGCATGGAAAAAGAGTTAAGCTACGGTGGGTATAGTGAATGTGGAAAGAGGAAATAACTTAAAATTTATTCATGACTTGTGGGCACTGCTGGCTGGGCTAATATTTGTTGCGCATTCCCAGTTGTCATTTGGAAGGGGCCAGTGAGCTGCTTTCTTGAACTACTGCCATTTATTTGATGTAGGTACATCCACAATGCTGTTAGGGTGGAAGTTCACAGAATCTCAATTGTCACTGTGCAGAAGGGGCCCATTTGACCAATTGCGTCTGCACCAGTTCAATTCCCGAGTGGCAATCTCCTGACTTTTCCCCATATCCCCCACACTATTTCTATCCAAATAATTATCCAATTGTGTCCTCTTGAATGCCTCAATTGAACCTGCCTTCACTACATTTCCTGCCAGTGCACATACAGTGACTATTCACTGTTTGAAAACATTTTTCCCTCACATCACCTGTGCTTATTTTACACGTCACTTTAAAGCCATGTCCTCTCATCCTTTTTTCTTCTACAAGCAGGAACAACTTCGTCCTATCTACTCTGTACAGCCCTCTCAGGACTTTTAAAACCTCTAACAAATTTCTCAGCTCTTTGAGAAGAGTATCAACTGCTTCAATCTATACTCATAACTGAAGTAGTTCCATGATTTTCACCTAAGAACCGTGAAGAAATGATCATATATTTCCAAGTCAGAATGACGAGTGGCTTGGAGGACAACTTGCATGTGGTGGTGTTCCCATATATCTGCTGCCTTTATCCTTCTGGATAGTAGTGATCATGGGTTTGGAAGGTGCTGTCTAAGGAGCATTGGTGAATTTCTACAGTGCATCTTGTAGATGGTACACACTGCTGCTACTGAGCGTCGGTGGTGGAAAGAGTGAATGTTTGTGGATGTGGTGCCAATCAGGTGGGCTGTTTTGTCCTCAATAGTGTTGAGCTTCTTGGCGTTGTTGGAGCTGCACTCATCCAAGCAAGTGGGATATATTCCAGTTAACTACTGACTTGTGCCTTGTAGGTGGTGGACACTCTTTGGGGAATCAGAAAAAGAGCTACCCACTGCAGGATTCTTAGCATCTGACTAGCTCTTGTAGCTACAGTATTATATGGCTAGTTAAGTTTAGTTTCTGATCAATGTTCACCCCCAGGAAGTTCATAGTGGGGGATCCAGTAATGGTAATACCATTTAATAAATGGTGATGGGTGGATTCTCTCATTGGTGATGGTCATTTCCTGCCACTTAAGTACAAGGCAATGGAAAGAGAAAATACAAAAGTGGCAAACGACAGCAGTACAGAGCAGGAACTGGGCGGCATTGTAGAGGAGATGACGATGGGTAGAATGAAAACAAATACTTCCCCTCCATTCCCCAAAGGAATAAAAAAAAATCAACACTATCTTTTCCCATATGAGAAAACCCAGTCCTGTAGAAAATCCCTGAACTTAAACATAGCATTGGAAATTCCCAAGTGGGTTTTACCCTGTACTGTCAAAGTCTGGGCTGCAACTGTGAATAAAAACATGCTTTAAGTTCCTCTAGTGTTCTTAAAACTTATCAAATCATGTAAAGCCCTTTAAATTCTGCAGCAGTTTGACTGTTTGAAAAGTATTAAAACATTTTAAATAGCATTAATAACTTGAATGGTTTTTAAAGTGCTTAAAAACAGGAATTTAAAACCAGTTCATACTCACAGCAGGATCAGCAACACAAAAAAAGCACCC